AGCAGTACTGTTAGGTGGAAGGGGTAGTTCAGTACCAAGGACGAGGACATGGTTGGGGACGGGACAGCAGCAGTACTGTTAGGTGAGGGGTATTCAGTACCAAGGACAGGACATGGTTGGGGATGGGACTGCAGCAGTACTGTTAGGTGAGAGTTTTCAGTACCAAGGACAGGACAAGACAGGGTTAGGAACGGGACTGCAGCAGTACTGTTAGGTGAGAGGTATTCAGTACAAGAACAGGACAGGGTTGGGGACGGGATACCTGCTGCATATATTACTGCAGAATAGATCTTACAGGAATTTTGAAAAAAACAAACATTCATAGGTCGTCCAGCTGGTTTATCTTTAATAAACGTATACGGAAGGATACTCCCAAACTCAAAAGAATGCCAAACCGGGTGTGCCAAACGAAAATTAATGACAGAAAATAGCCGGAAAATTCAATGCAGACTGCCTGAACCCAATACATAAAACCATAACAGTATGTGAATAGGTCATTGTCTTTTCCAATTTCAAGTCCACAATTGCTACGTTTCTTTCAGATCCTTTATACCGTGCAATTCCCACAGGCACAGAGCTGTGGGGCGCGCTGGGCGGATGTAGTGGGACTCCACACTCAAATGGTCTTCATCCGTTCAGGAACACATATCGGAAGGGGCGTCAGAGCAAGGTCTTAACTACCGGAATAAAGAATGGACTTGGAACACACCCAGCAGGCCAACCCCGGCCCGCAGATCGTGACCTCTGACATCCTCTTGTGGAGAGAGGTCATGACCTCAACACGCTTCTTGCGAAAGAAAATGGCGGATGTCATGACCGGAAAGAACCGATTTTTCTCGGCGCTGAAGGGGTGTTTCTGTGATAAGGGACCCCCGGTGAGAACACAGAGACTATCGTGTACATGCACGACCCTGCTGGAAAGGTTCACGATAAAGTACCGATCGGATTCAGCTTTTATAAGTGTGGTACGCACGAGGGAGTGCATAGGTCTCGACTACAATCAAGTGGCCAAACTAAACCTGGGAAACCTAAAAAAATATAGGATGTACCTATAGATAGGTCAGAGATAATGGAAATTTCAAACACACCAAATTAAGTTTAAAATCTGTGTAAGATGATTCCTCATACTTGTCATCGCGATCCAACAAAATCACCCAGAACCCAATTCAGCACCAAGGACGGTGACACATACTTGAGAAAATCATTTTTGTCACGTTGCAGCGAAAACGATTTGACTAATACAATCAATTTATCAACATTTGATACATATTTCACTAAATATCATAGTAGCGTTGAAATAACTGCCACTCTGTTATCATTAGTTAAGTCTCCAATAGAATTACTTTAAATGACGTCAGGTCAGAACATAGATTTCTCTCTGTACAAGTAACAATCATTCGCGAAAAGTTGCACAAATGATGTCCACCATCCATCAGTCCGACACTAGAGTTCTCAGAATTGCAGTCTATACTCATTAACTTAAATCAGCTTTCATGGCGAGAAAATCATACAGCCGATTTGTGCGTTGAGTGGGTCATATTTCATCCCTTCCATTCATCGGGCGGGTATTTAGAGAAAAAAATCAGCGTTGTTCCGTCAGAGCTCCATCGATCATGTTCTAAACACACGTCAAACTCCGGCCCATCATCATCGCCCTGCCTTCTGTACCGGGCGCGCGCGTACACACACACAGGCGTCAGTAACTACTTCATATTTCATCCCGGCAATTGTTGCCTTTAAACCTTGTGATTTCAGGGCACTTTCATTTAGTGCTGGCCCGAGATTCGATCGTGCTCGGGGTCGTGCTCTGCAAATCTCCAATTTTACAGCGCGTGGAAAAAAACACCATCACACCATCTATTGACGGGGGAAAATTGAGGAGCCACGCTCTTGTATGCTATCGCCATAGGGGGCCTGCCCCTGCATCGCCCCGATAAGCCGACTTCATTCACGGAAGTCCGATGATTGACGAGCAGGTTGGGCGGAAGAGATATACTACCCCGTCAGGTGCAATATGGAAACCAGCGCTGCTCTGGCCACAAGTCCCGCAGATAATAAACAGCAAATATAATAAACGCTTGGACGATGATTAAGTGTCGGGATTAGGTGAGAGGAAGTTTACTCTCGTTTTACTGGCGCCAGAGACAAATTTAAAGTCATACATATCCAGGCGCAGTTTGTCCGCCATATTGGAAGATCCAGATCATTATCACCAGATCCAGCTGCCTCAGTCTGTGATAAGTTATTCTGATCGTCTGCGCTAAGTTTGGCATAGAGGTCATCTTTGTCTTTTCTTGGAGGGGGGGGGGCTTTTTAGGCAAAATAAAGACTAGTCCAATCAATTAACTCCAATGAAACCATGGATCCAGTCCATGCTACAGTCAAAAGCGCGAGTGTATCTTATAATCATTAAATGGACCGGTATAATTTCATGGTTTGGGGTTAAAAGTTGTGGTTTCGAATAACTGTTGTACAAACAAGCGTCCTCCTCAACATTCCCTAGAAATATCAGTATTTCTACAGTCGAAGTGCAATCTCATATCATAGCAACTATGAATACGTGCTGGTTTGAAGTGGAAGAAAACCCACCAAGCTTTCAGGACTGAATCAAATTTTTGATGAACTTTGTGAATGTATGAGACAGGTCCATTATAAAATATGACCATTGATTGACAGTATGTCATTATTTACATTATTGACTTAGACTTGTTGCAGCTCGGTGAATTAAGATTGCTCTTACAGTGGACTTCCTGTGTCAAGCTACACTATACCAATCTTTGGTTTTGTTACTATGCGATCTGTTTAAGCATACTGTATTCATGAAGGAACATAAGGGAACTAAGTCACACCAACTGCTGCGCACACAACACCAGCACTATTGTAAGTTGCTACAGAACTGTAATTACTGTCCTTGTTTTTCATTTGTCCATCAAGACATTTTTGCATGCAGTCATTCATCGTTGATGCCACAACTTCTTGAAAACAAACTAAAGTCTATGTCTTGTTTACTTGTGATCTGCGTTGTTTTAAACCTACACTGCCTTCGCTACTTTTCCCCTACATACTTATTCCTACCCATTGACATCAAAGACGCCAAGCCATTCTTATACGTTATGTACACGTTTTATTCGTTTGGTCGACATGTGATACAAACACCTTTCGCCTTCATATCTGTACAAAAATACATGTCGTCTTGTTCGTCATAAACATGCATAAATATCGATTTCTCTTGATAGAATAGATACGATAAGATTACTGTAGCTACTACACTATACATAAAAACTGATTTTTAAAAAGATGGTAAATTGGAAAAAAAAAACATTACAACGCCTATGAATATAATACGCTACGGGGAATGAAGCACGTGGAATTTATAATAAAACGACCGGATCACATAATGCACAGCA